TCTCGGTTGATCTAAAAAGGTTTCGGTTGGGAGGAAAAAGAGAAAGTGATAGATACTTTGGATTTCCCATAAAAACTATTAACCAACATATAACCATGTATTATCCTCCAAATAACCAAGTAAACATCATATCACTTCCCCTTTTTATACTTTTGGCCGAGGGTCATTTCTTTCATTCACCACCATATTCTTTCATCCTCATTTATCCTTCTTCTCTCAAGAACAAACCCAAGATCTTCCAAGAATCTACTTCCTTCAAGTGGTCCTTACATTTTTGGTAAGTATTTTCATGATTACCTAGTGTTTTAATACATTTTCATGTCAATTTCATCCTATTTATACACATTATTATATGTTAAACTCTTAGGATAAGATCATTTCCAAGAGAATTCATCAGCAACATTCAAGTGTTTAGGCTTGAAGATCTTTACACCATCTCCTCAAACAACCCACAAATCCACTCAAGGTGAGTTCATACCCCCACATTTTCAAGTTTTTCATGTTTTAGGGGGGGAAATACAAGTCAAAATTTGTTTATCATACAAATACTTGCATGTTTCATCTTTATGTTAAAGTATAAGCCACTATTTGCTTAAGATGTGATTATTACTAGATTTTGTACAAATATTTGTGATACATTAGTTTTCAAATGAAAACAAAAAAAAACAAAACATGATCTATGTTATAAAAAATCAGGAGAAAAATTATGATTTGCAAAGCTACAAGGTTTTTGGAAGCTTTTACCAAAATATAGCTTTTCCAACAAAAAGGAGTATATTCAAGCTATTTCACTATTTTTTGGGTTAAGACCCAAAAATATGAAGTTTGAACCTACATTTTGAAACTAAACAAGATGATTATGATGTATTTATATAATTGATTATACAAATGTTCTTAACAAACAAACATGATAAACAATAACTGGTATAGGTTGGGAGTCACAAAACTACACAATCATTACAAAGGAAACATCTAATTATTTAAAGGTATAACCAGTCCATCTACAAGAAAAAGGAGTTTTCAGCTCACGTAAATCGATTAATACTGGTTGTGAGACATTTGGTTTCACCGTACCAACCATAGTACACATACTGAGACCTGCATTATAGCCAAAGTCTCTTGTGGGGAGAGTGTGACACTTGTGTATAGATCTATATGGGATTGACAACCCCGCACCTAAACTGTTTGCTACAGTTAGACCGGGAGGTCTGGGGTGACAAATGTCATAACAGTTCCGACGTCCGAAGCAACATCATTCAGGCAACTAGTCGCATTAGCATGGTTATAATAACTCACATTGGGTATCGACAATACAATGATTTACGAGATAACATACATTCAAGTAGTTTTATATGAAGATAAAACTTTATAACACTACTTTTCAGTACAACATTACTTAAGTTTTTAGTCTTTTGATTAAGACTTACAGTTCATTTCAAAAGAAAATATTGGATTTTCTGAAGGTATACACTATCATTTTTCGCGAAACAATTACAAATCTTTCTCATACAAAAACGCTTATGAACTCACCAACTTAATTGTTGACACTTTCAAAATCACTTGTATTCTCAAGAAACCAGTAAACAGGTAACCACAAGAGTTTTTGGTGGATGGGACGCCGTCACATCACGTTATTCATTTTTGTTGTATGCATTGGATATCATGTAAACAATTATTTGAGTACAATGTAAACTTACTTAATATTCAATACAATGGTTGTAATGCTTTGATTCTCTATTATCCAATTGTTATGATATTGTACGTGAAGTCATCCGCCCCCAGACGTTTCCGCCGTTCTGGTTTAGGGATGTGACAATTTGAAGAAGTTGCAACCAAAGAAGTCTCTTACTTTCCGCATATTGAGGAGCATACAACAAAATAAACAAATTATTCAAACCCGTTCTTGTCCATATCACCTCAACCACAACAACGAAAAATAATAAATCACCACTCTTTTTTAAGAAATATAATATGGGTCCCAAATAACAATGATACCAGTGAAGCTCCACAAGACAGAGAAAAAGCATGAGAAAAAAATTTACCACCCCAAAAAGAACGAACTGTAAACAAGTTCAAGTTATTCAAATTCGATTCTTGAATTACCAAGAAATTCACCTTATATTTTTGACAAAGTGAATGCATCCACACCCGCTTATCCTTACGCCTCGCTCCTTGAATATTGACGGAAAGGTAATTAATGAAACACCTTGTCCTTTCAGATGACCTTGTACAATATATATCACCCAATCATAACACTCATCCATATTAAAGCCTAAGGATCTACCAATATCTAAAGACTTTTTAATTTCGTTGAGAAAATATTGATTATTTATTGAAGCTTCAGAAAATCCACCTTGTTCCACGAAATTTGAGAAACCTAGAGGATGAGACAAGGAATCCTACGAATCAGACACTCCTAACATCCTTCCAAACCCCCCTGCAAAACCTACTGGAGCCACCCTAACCTCTTGAATATTCATCATATGAGATCAAGCTGAGAAAATTAGAGTTGTGGCCAGAAATTTAGCTGATGCAGTAGCTACATCAGCATCGACAGGGACAACAGGTGGCGCCCTATGTAACACTCCAAAAATCAAAGAAATTTAAAAATTTTAAAATCAACCATTAACCAACATTGTTTACAAAACAAAAGAGTCATTGTATCAAAAGTATTATTCAAAATCAGAGCTTTCCTAAGACCCAATAACACAAAACAGGAAGATGTGAACGGTCACGCCTTCACTTTCCCACAATGATCAGAAGTACCTAAAACAATAAAACTGAAACTATAAGCTAAAGCTTAGTGAGTTCCCCTAAAGTACCATCATACAACATATAAAATACATAGATTAGCATGTTGGGTCCATAACCTCCCGATTGGATTACTCTAGCCCACAACCTCCCGGTTGGATTGCCCTGCATACCATATATGAGGTCCACAACCTCCCGATTCGATTACCCTTGGCCCACAACCTCCTAGTTTGAATGCCCTGGCCCACATCCTCTCGTTTGGATTGGCCCAGTCTTTGGACTGAGAGCACAAAGCAGTAGTCTCTACCATAACGTAACATGTCGACATATAATAGTAATATACATATTCAGCAGACAAATAATTATACAACCAATAATCACAGGTAGTCATACTGATTTACCAGTCTAACGTGTATTAGTAAATATCAGATAATCAAATAGGTCTATCGCATGCTTAACATATCATAACCCAGTATATAACATAATATCAATCCATTGGTCCAACCTTGGTGCCTTCGACCCGTAAGTACAGTGAGAAAAAGTCACCTCACAGTCCAAAGTGAACGCTGAACAGAACGCAACTCCGAAAGTCAGCACATCGATCACCTAAACGGAATCGGGACTTAAGCTCAGTTAACAAGCCCAAGGCCCAAAATATTCAAAACACTCCTGGGTCAACATTGGTCAATGGTTAAAGTCAACAACTCAGCCGAGTCAGCCCAGCCGAGTACGCGGGGCGTACTCGATAGTTGAACTCCTTCTTAACATAATAAGTGCTTAATACTTAATCTTTTATGTCCAAAATATAGATCTAAGTCCCAAATATCGTTCTTGACCATGAAGTTTCCAACTTTATGGTCTTGCACAGTTAATAAGTGCTAAATACTAGAAACCCCAACCTTTTAACCCATTAAGACAACCAAGCACATGCGTGGAAAAGAATTAATAGCCAAGATGCTATTTTTATGCTTCTAAACTGCTCAAAATGTTTGAAAGGACAGTCTAAATGGGCTGGAGCATGCCATACCCAAAAAGGTCAAGACTTGGGACCAAAAAACTCATGAATCAAGAAATTAATAAGATATAAGGAATTACAAGCCATGTTTAAAGCTTCCTACCTCTCGAAGGTTGCTAGATAGGTGAAGATCCTAGATCCAAAGCTCCTTCGAGCTTCCAAGGTGGTTCTACTTCCTTCTTTCTCCTTCAAGACCACAAAAAACACACACAAGGGTCAAGAATGCTCAAACAAGTAGTTAGGGTTTGCTAAGATCGTATAGAGGTGTTGGAGGCTGATGAGAGATGAGATTTAGAGTCCATAAAGTTGGTCAAATAGGGGCCAAACCCTAAAAATTAGGGTTTATGGCTCATACATGTATGCACCATGTACGCTAGGTACGCCCAGCGTATGCAAGCCTACCTCAATAATTACAAAAAATGTCGCTATGGGCCACTTTTCAAGCTCTCTCATGCACAACGGCTAAAATGCAATAACTCTACATAATTAGGGTTAAAATTGAATATAACCCATCATCGAAATGTTACACCCTATTTGTTTTTGTTTCGTTCACAACAGCAGGGGTTATCTTGGACCGAGGAACTGCTCCCCGGGCAACATCATTTTTGACTTCACATCTGGAAAAAAAATTCTATAGGAGATTGATTAAAATATGAGGCTCGATCACCATCTACATTATCCAGATCGTTAGGATAAGAGTCTGGCATACACTCATATCTAAATTGTCCTTGAACCTAATCTTGGCCACCACAACCCTTACCACCAAAATTCCTAACTTTACACTCAGTTTCCTTCCTTTTTTCTTTCCTCATATAACTTCATGTTTTCCATTGTTTCATATATACCAAAAAGGTCTTCACAAATATCTTCATCATCAAACTTAGAATGTACACTTTCCTCTTCTTCAAAGGGACCATGAGCCTCTCGATTTTCATAGGTATTTTTTTGGAAAATTGGTTGAGAAAGAAGGAATCCAACTGAGAGCTTCTTTAATTTGGACCTTTAAGACAATATCATCAACCCGGACCTTCACCCCATCCGAAATAATACCTTCAAAGGAAGTCAATATGAAAAGGTGGTTCTTGTAGATATCTTCACCAAGATGATCTTCAATATGTGCAATACAACCCCATTTAAAGATAATCCTTCTAAACACATCCTTACTCCAAGCTCAAAGAGGAACCCATTCAACATCAACCCACACAAGCCTTTCAAATGGAATGAAATTTCTATCTTATTCTCGTTTTTCCGCAAGCCAATGACTCACAGAATCACTAATCATAAAGTTTGTACACACCTCTCTTCCTTTAAATTCTAGCATGACCCAATACCCACGAACATAACGGATATCAAAATCATAGAATCCTTTATCATAGCAAAGCATATGAATATTAGGCAGAGTGGAGTAATCGCTAACTTTGACAAAACATGCATGTTTCCTCTTCTCTACAATAAAATCCCCATATGGAAGATCTAGAATCTCATCAGCATGAGCTTTATCACAGTTCATAGTGGGCGAACCTTTAAATACACTAGCATAGGAATTAACTTGTGAAACAGGTCTCTTAGTTTTTGATGGAGCCCTCCGAGAGTGTTGTAAAGGAGCAATTTTTGGAACTCTAGGAAGGGATGGAAACAATTTGTCATATCCAAACCAAACTTCGTGAAGCAGATTAATCATATCTTTATTCTTGTAATCACCCGAAAATCAAACAAACCCAAATCGTTTACCCAATCGTGATTTCTTTTTTAAGATAAAAACATCAGAAACTTTTCGAGTACATCCACATACTCGCCACAGGTCCCTTAGAATAATATAATCAGGAAAATTTGTGATGTAGAAGAAAGAGACTTTAGGGTTTAATGATTATTGTTTTATTACGTGATCATGTTGACCCGACTCATTCGGAAAATAGGGTTGTCGAAACTTGTTTTGGAAATGTGAAGGTTTCTAGCGACATGCTACTCGAACTAGAATCACAATCAGCAAAGGAAGGGATGACTAGAAATGACCTAGAGGCGGCCGGTGTTTGATCCCGCTGAGGAGCCCCGAAATCGCCGGATCATATAATTTTTAAACCCCCCTACAATTTGGTCATTACATGTACCAATTTCATCATTACATGTAACAATGGATCATTATAATTAAGAATCGAACGCTCGTTATATTTTTATAATTTTTAAGTTCGTAACAATTTAACAAACTGCCAAACTATAAAATCCATAACAAATGCATTAGGTCCTTAATGGTGAAAAAAATCCATTCATTCCACCCCTCCACACCTACTTGTCACCTCACATCCACATCAAAATTCCTTTCTCCTCTCACTTCCACCCCTCCCATATCATATCATATGTAAATGTATCCATCAAATACCTTCCAACCCATACAACTTTAAAATTTAAAATAAAAACAAAAAGAATTCTCAAATTATACAAAACTAAATAAAAACATACAATACAATATATAATGCAAGTATAGCATAAGTTACAAGTAACCAATGCATAGTCTTTAAGATTTAGCAAAGTACCAAGCTACCAAATTTATAAGAATTGTATGAAGTTCATAACAGTTTAGTTAAAAACCAAAAACCTTTTCAAAGACCCAAAACCGCTATGGAAGAAGATTTACGTATGATGTCTTTCATATGTTCCTTTCGAGGACCCAAAACCTTTTCAAATACACCTACCATGTCAACCGAGGTTTGATTACTGGAGGATGGTGATAGTTGAGATTGTATAGCAAGTTCACAAACTAAATCATTTTGTATCTTACAAAGATGATTAATATGCATCTAATAAAACGCAAAAAACAACAATGTACTTAAGTTTTAAGCATTAAAAACTTACATATTACTCCTCGAATATTGTGTCATTCTTCCATGTTTGTTGACATGAGCATCGTGATACGCTTGGTTGGCATTAGTGGCGCCATAATTGGTAGCCCCACTATTGGTTTTGATTGAAACGTGTCTCGGGTGTTGGATCTCTATGTACAATGCACAGATCACTAAATAGACCGGTAATGATGGCACATTTAACGATAATAGATAATTTAACAGTGACATCAAATGTGTAAGGCTACATGTCACTGCTTAAGGGTCTGCGCTGCTAAAGGGATCACCGCTACCTCTACCAATCTTATTTCTTGAAAGAAGCATACACAAAACATGCTACAACCAAAGAAAAGCAAATTAGCTTAATAAAGAAAGTTTTTTTTAACGATTTAGAATAAGACAGTACTATAGCCTGTTAGAACTTTGAAATAGAATGACTTTAATAAACAAATACTAACAAAGTATTTAGAAATGACAAAAAAATCTTTACATAAAATAAATTATATTTATCTTTGAAGTTTACAAATCATAACATTCCATTAATATACTATTTATAATAGATTAATAAATGTCTAAATACATTAACCCTACACATAACCTTATTTGATAACCTTCAACATTATTT